GCCTCATTTACTAATAGGCCCTAGTAAAGTGGTGGAAATTGATGAGAGTTGTTTCAGAAAACGGAAATATAGATCCAAATCGAGGTCTTCTAACATAGCAGTGGACTAGCAAAACACGCAAACGTTATTTTCGATAAGAACGAGTGGTGTGAAAGTTTCTGAACAATATATCTAGTCAAAAAGAACTATTTATATACTTGGTTTTGATTTCCGTTTTTATTCGGATGAACAGTCATTGTTATTCTCTTTCTAGATATTCATAAAATGTTTCAATAATGAGTTCATGTGCAATAAAACAAATTGCTCTTCGACGACATAAATATGATCGTCTTGGACTGATGAAGAAAGTTGACATTATAAAATAGCCCTAAAAAAAGGAATTTCATGATCAACGATTTACTCAATTATCAAGCATTCTGAAGATGGTCTGCCAATTCAGGACAAACCGAGAAAAGGGCGTCCACTCAACATGAACAAAGAAAAACAGGGCACACTAAAGAAAATGGTGGAGAGAATCGTGTTGGCATCTGTCAACGTCAATTGCATAGAAACTTTTCTGTCACACGTTATTGTATCATGCGTAATGTAAAGAAATTAGGCCTGAAATATTATAAACGACAACGAGCACCAAAGTACAACCAAAAACAACTTGATCAAACATTACGGAAATGCCGAAAGTTATGTCGAGATTTTATTGATAACAACAATTCATCACTATGAACAATAGAAAATATTTTACATTTTCAGCAGATAATATGCCTGGAAACGCAGGATTTTACTTCTCAAATAAACTATATACTCCATGTGATGTAAAATTTAAACTGAAGCAAAAATGTGAACCGAAAGTGTTGGTGTGGCTGGCAGTGTCCAGCAAAGATATTTCAAACCCAAACATCGGCACTTCAAAAGGTCCAGCTATGAATAGTAATGTATATGTTCAAAACTGTTTACCCAAAATGTTGGCATTTATTAAAACACATCATCAAAACAATGAATACATATTTTGATCCGATCTCGCCAGTTCACACTATGCAAAAACTATTACTGAACGGCTCAATGAACAGAACATCGATTTTTCGCGGAAATCGGTGAATCTACCCAAAGTTAGGCCGTTAGAAGACTTTTGGTCGATCTTAGCTGATCAAGTTTACAGAGAAGGTTGGATGGCCACAATGTAACCACAGCTTATCAACAGAATCAAACAGCAGCTCAAAAAATATATCTCAATATCGTTCAGACAATGATGTCAGACGTTCGTAAGCAATAGCGGAAAATTGAAGATCAAGGATCATTTTCTATTTTGTAGCTAAATGGTTTCGTTCATTTCACTTCATTATATTTTTGATTCAAACCAAAAAAAACGATTGAATACTTGAAGAGAAATAATCATTATAGTTTTGTTCAGAAACTTTCGCATAACCCGTTACTTTCCGTGATATTGAACATAGCTTTTATTTTGATAAACCGCGTTTACTCAATGAAATACAGAACCCGACTCATAAAAGATGCAGCTGTGATGGCCGAGCGGTCTAAGGCGTCTGATTGCTAGTCAGATGGGATCTTCCCTCGTAGGTTCAAATCCTACTCGCAGCGTTTCATTTTTTTTTCATGCAACATTCTGACTCATTCGCTCGATGGTAGGTTCGCACAGCCATAAGTAATTGCATAATTTCATTTTCGCTACACGCTCTTGTTTCTGTGACGTAATTGAAACGTAGAGCCACAGTGAAAAAGATGCAGCTGCGATGGCCGAGTGGTCTAAGGCGTCTGATTGCTAGTCAGATGGGATCTTCCCTCGTAGATTCAAATCCTGCTCGCAGCGTTCTTTTTTTTTCATGCAACATTCTGAGTCATTCGCTCGATGGTTGGTTTGCAGAACGGCACATTCTTGTGTAATTTGATCTTCGCTGCACGCTCACGATTCCCTGACGTAGGACACTTGAAAAGTTGCGAGACAGCTTCCATAGACTTTTTAATCTTCTTCGTACCCTACGCGTCACCGCAATAACCTAGACTATTCAAATTACAACTATGAGTACTCGTGTATCCTATTTTCGGGGTGATTGGTGTTCCTCGAGAACATAGGTCGGCTGTATGCAGGCAAGCAGACAATAGCGTTTTGAAAGACAACTACAGCCTTTTTTCGTTTGACTTCGTGAATATTTGGTATAAGCTTTGTTATAAGATCCGCAAGAATTAGAGTGACTTTATTGGGATTTTGAGAGCGTGGATGTGATTAAATGAGGATAGGCTGGGTGGATGAAGTTAGGAGGAATTGTATCGTTGCGTGGAACTTCTTATAGTTCACCCACATAAGTTGACTGGAACTCACTCATCGCACGCAGAAACCGATGAGGGTATGGGTGTGGATGCACTGTAAAATTTATTTAAATTCTGTTTTGTAGAAAATCGACTTTAAAACAGCTGAAGCATTTTCAAACTTTTATTATACATTCGTTGAATTTCAAACTTTCAGAAAATGCTTGATTTTCTAAATAGTAGAAATTCAATTTGATTTCCTGCAGAAAATCGAAACTTGAATATCAATAGTTTATTTTCAAGAAAGTAGAAATTAATCGTTGAATTCATATGGGCATTCCTAGAATATCCTTCATTAAACTCTATAACTAATTTTCTAGTTTACAGTGTGGGTGTGGGTGTGGGTATGGACGTCAGAGAGAAGACACCCACTCCTAAAAATTTCAGATCTCTTGGTTGCACTTTAACTGAAATATGTCGATGAGAAAAATTAGACGGACTATAATATATGATATCCTATGATATTTCACAAAAATAAATGTTGCACCATTTTTCACCGACATGCTCAAATGAGCTGAAATTTTTAATTTAGAGGTTTCTCCACATGGGCTTTCATCTGAAATACTTAAATCAAACATTTGGAATTAAATCATCAATCTGCATAGTGAGAATCGAGTCCCAAATTCGGCTTTCCCAGTCTTGTTCAAAAACTTTTTGCTACCAAAGTTCAATACCACAAACTTTTGAAAACGTTAGTCGATGCATTTTGATGTGCTCGTTCAAATGAGACTACTCTCGATTTATTCTATAGCCCTGATGGTATCCTCTCATTTGCGAACATACAGTCGAAAATTCAAAGTTTATTAAATTAAATTATATTTCATTTTTCAATTAATTTGAATTTTTCACATTAAAAGCTACTGAAAGTGTCAAATTTTCGATTTTTAATTCGTTAAAACTCATTTCTTCGAAAAAAACTCCGAAAATTAAAATCGCTACTTTTATTATTTAATATTTTTTACTGAAACGAATTTTAACAGCCATTTTGTTTGAAGAATTGAAATTTGTAGAGTTCGCTCTTGTTTTCTATGTTATTTCTATACTTTTTTTGGGAAGATGTAGAGCTCGCTAGTGCTTTTAATACAATTTCTATCTATAAATTTGGGAAGATGTAGAGTTCGCTCGTGTTTTCAATACAATTTCTATCTATAAATTTAGGAAGATGTAGAGTTCGCCACTGTTTTCTATGTAATTTCTATATTTTAGTTTAGGAAGATGTAGAGTTCGCTCTTGTTGTCTATGTTATTTCTATATTCTGGTTTAGGAGGATATAGAGTTCGTTTGATATATGCCTGCAGGGTTTCGATATATTCAGCTCTTATTAGTAGAATGTGCTAAACTACGTAGTGCTCTTCTTCTTTTTCTAAATTGAGTCTCATATTTAGAGTTCATTGGATCGAATTACCGATATGAACGTCATAAGCCTGTTTTTGTATGGGAACTCTATGTAGTTTCCATACTAACATAAGACAAACAGTCCACTGAAAAGAAACTAATTGGAACCCAAATATATAATTATTCAACAACAAAACTGTGGAAACAATGTAAACGGAACAAGATTTAGGTGTTGGTATTAGAGTTCTCTTCAAACAAGCGTCCATCGAGGTCACATTTTAAATGGATATTGAACCATGCTTGTGAAACATGAGAGAAACAATTCAAAGCTCCCTTCGCTCTTCGTCTAAACTTTCTTTTTTTTTTCGCCCCTTGCTCGAGCTATATTAGGGTTCGTTTTTCAATATGAGAATTAAGCATATCACCTTCCAAAAGGTGTTCCTGATTAAGATTAAGATTCATAGCACTTAAAGTAAATCTATGATCTGGCTACGTTCCAAAAAAGTTTTTATAAAAACTCTCTCGCGATCAACCTATTTCAGTGACCTCGTTTAAAATGCGAAAAGATTTCATTGGTATTTTTTTAAAACAATTTCTTCGATAGTATACCTCACTTATAAAATCTTCTTTTTGGTGAAGCAGTAAAATTCATAATTACTTCAGAGCTGATAAAACCTTTTGAATCAAATACCTTGAAATGTAAAACAAATTTTCTTTCGCTGCCATGTTCTTACATTGATCTTCCAAAATGAGAAGTGACACTCTCAGACCGCATTCGCTTACCTTGAAACAGACTACACGCGACACTTCTAAATCTTTTTTACATTCAGTTAGATTTATGCTGGGTTTTCTAGCGAACTCTACATCTTCCAAAATCTACAGATAGAAATTGTATTGAAAACGGTGGCGAACTCTACATCTTCCTAAATTTATAGATAGTAATTGTATTGAAAACAGTGGCGAACTCTACATCTTCCTAAATTTATAGATAGAAATTGTATTGAAAACACGAGCGAACTCTGATATCTTGCTAAATTCGATGCGATCTCAAGTTGAAAGTGGAAATTTTCAAATAGAAGTATCCATCAACAATAACTTGAAAATTAAATTAATTTAAATTTTATTGTTTGCTGAATTTTAAAACCTTCATAGAAATTTAAAATTTTATTGACTTATGATCGCAAATGAGAAGTAGCCATTTTACACTTCGAATACATTTTTTTTATTTTGAACAATAAAAAACTATGAAAATGCTTAACACGAGCATAGAATTTTTTCTCTTTGCTATTAATTTTATTCGTACAAAATAACTATATTACAAGATACAGTAAGATTTCATTTATACATTATTTTTTATTTATTGAATTGGAGTAATCTTTGAGTTGATCAGCAATATGTTGGTTATGCTTCACCGTAACAAGACCTTGACACCCACGTTTTAATGGTTTTTGCAATTTTAATTGTTTTGGAGCATTTATTGTTAAACTGTAATGTCCCTTTTGATCAATAAATCCACTAATCTGCTCGTTAGTCAAATGTTCAACTGATATTTTTCTCCATAAATCAATAAATTTCGGATTAATCCGAAAACTGGGATCATTATCAGTATAAAATAAAACTTCTCTTTTATTACTTTTTACTTTAACAACATGGCCATTTGCTATTACGCTATCGATTATTTTATCAGCTCTTAGTTTTTGTATTGAATCTCGTACATCCTCAACAGTTATTGTACCTTCACAATTTTCATGCCGTGCTTTTAAAAGTTTCAGAAAGGAGGATTTTTTTGGATCTTTTAAATCAAGGGCTGGCTTATATACAAATCTATGAATACCATCAATTGTTTTAACATAAATTTTTTCATTTGATAAAAGTGCTTGAGAAGCAAGCCAATGTTTATCAGATAGATTAATTGTAAGACAACATTCTTGTATAATTTCATCTAATGTTAATGGATCATTTTGTCCAGTAGAAAAGCGTTCTTGTAATTTTTCGACAATATTTTTTAGCATCAAAAATGGTGATTTTGAAGAAGTACTTGATGAATCATAGTTAGTTCTGAAATCCGAATATGTTTTCGATCGATCCAATTTTGACTTGTTTTCTGTGATGACGTTTTATCAGTATCTTGACGTTTTAGTTTTGATGCACAAGAAGTTGTTGACTCGGCTTTCTGTTTAAGAAATTGTTCTTGTTCTTTATATAACACTGCTGATGAAAATTTCATCATTACATGAAATATTTCTTGGTACACCTGTAATAAGCAACATTTCTCTATACTACAGATGGCGACATCTATTTTGTCTTTACACATATCAATAAAAGCACCACAGAAAGAGAATATGCAAAGAGTAAAGACACGAATGGTATTGTACACTATACTCTCATGATAAAAGGGTGGATGTGGGTTTTACGAAAATTTACTGTTTTTTATTTATGTGTTTTATCAAGAGGAATTGCTTCTGCAGACCGATCTTTCTATAAACTTGCACATTTTTGTCATTGCAACTTGCATTTCATCATATTTGCTTGTTTATCTTTCGGTGAAACGTGATCAGCAACTCACCGCAAGACAATGTAGGCAACGACATCTGACGAATTCTTACACTTTCCCTCTTTCCTTTTACATTCATCGATATGATATGTCAAAACAAGCGAGAATATCGTGGCTTTCATAATCGTGAGTCACATCACTTATTACAAATTCTCAAAACGTAAATGATCGAATCTGATGAAACAGGTGTTGAAATTATGGAGAAGTGCGGATTTGTGAAAGATTTGGTGAAGTGCATTGGTGCAATCATGAACTGATTATTTACTCTGAATCATATCGGAACTGACGTCATTTTTTCAATATATTAATCATCAACAAATCATTTTAGGAAGCATATGTTGTTTCTCTTTTCGCTGTAAATATGATGGAAGTCAAGCATTTTCGATGTAACGAATTCGGAAATGAAACTGCAACGGGAAAAAGCTCTGCTAAAAGACGTTATTTAATAAATGACTGACTCTATATGTGTATGTAAAATATGAATACAGGGTGTGATTAGAATAAAGACTCTGTTCTATACCACTGTTAAGCATTCATTATTGGAAGATAGAATTCATTTTCAAGTAATATATAACAGTAATAAGTGGTCTACAACTTTTTGATGGAAAATATTCTCCTTTCCTGCAAGAGCCAACAGTGAAGATCCAAAAACAATCGACATTGTCTGTATAGCTTTGCATTTTGCAAACAATGCTTTAATACATACAACTAAATGGATTGTATCACAGTTATTCTAATGGCTCTTCGCTGTTACTGTAATGATTCTTCCAATCAAACAAGTGTTACTTCGTTGACTTATCCATCTCGATCAATATTTAGTTCTTCCAAAACTGCATTAAAAAAGAAAGAAGAACTAAAACAACTAAATACAGAATGAATTGTAAATTGAATTCGATTGTTTTAAATAGTTGCAGATTCTGGTTTTAAGCGTATGGTTTTAGCATGTTTTACATCAATAAAAATGAATCCAGAATGCTGTTATGTTTCTTCTTGCTTGACTTAGAGAAAGAACATCTTGATGAAACTAGTCTGATGGCGGTTAATCTTCGTCCAAGTGAATATGCAGTTAAATACGAAAAAGATATATTTGATGAGAACAGCGAAAGATACTCTCATTATCCAAAAAGAACTTTGTTAAAAACGAGATAGTATGTAAAAATATCTAACATATTTCTCAACACTGTCTGATTCGAATCGGGATTGAACTTTTGTCATTCGTTTTGGTCTCTAGTGGAGAGGTGTAATTGATAGAGAAAGTTTGTCCTGTGTGTACACATGACATATATAACTAGATTTCAGTAACTAAGAGACATCATAGCTTGCATACTAATTCAAGCATTGGAACAAATACTCGAACTAATATACAATAACTAGACAAGTAATTACTAACTGTGGAGAAGGTATCCTAAATTGACGCTCACAACGACGCAGATGAAGAGAACAATGATGTTCTGAGGTCAATATTTCATTCTAAACACGAATTTTATATTGTAACTATATCAACACGCAACCACAATGTTTTTGTATCTGAAGAATAATGTCGTGCAATTTTCTTTTAACAAAGGATTAGTCATCTGTGTTTGTTGGATGGCGACGTGAAACCTGAAAGCTACGAAAGTCTCAAATGACAAACTTCAATCACTGCTTTAGAAATGTGCTTTGAAATCTTTTTCTCAGATTCGTTTCCATCATCGCTTCTCAACAAGAATTCTGCAGTTTTGCAGTACGAAATAATTGACTAATTTCTTTCTCGGATCGATTCGAAAATGTGTGAGAGATTTGATTGGGAAAAATTACTTCAAAAATTTTTCAGGTGCACATAAGTCCCGTTTAAGTCCCGAACCTCTATGTATCAGACATAGTTCGATAGAATTTGAGTTTTAGTTATATTGTAGTGTATATTTTTTTTATATCAAGTTATATACCAAGATCACATCCGTCTTTGATAGTTCACAAGATCTTATACAGTCAGCAAGGTCAGACAAACGGATGCTATTAAAAAATGTTTCAGAGGAAAAATTGAAGTTGTAGAGACTCAGATGGCAGACATATTCAGGAATCCTTAGGCAGCTGTCTACATTAGATGTTTGCTAAGAGAAAATTTTCTGAAATAAAATCGATGCTATTCTTTTCTCTCTCTCTTTCGTTAAACAAAACACTTATCGCTGGGTACTGAATCTTTATTTCAGTCAATAAATAAGACACATTGTATCCTTGCTCAAATTACTGATAGAAATACATGATGCATGAGAGACAATGATAATTTTCGTCAATCGAACGTGATGGTGACTGCAACATGTCGGGGTATGATGGTGAGCACAAACGAATGTCCACCAGCATTGACTTGAGGACCACCATCACCAAATGTTACATATTGCATCAGTCTTGCTGCAATTACTTTCAGCTCAAATCGCGCTAAATCTTGTCCAATACATTGACGATGGCCACTACCAAAAGGAATGAATGCATAAGCATGATGATTCTTGTCTTCATTCAGAAATCTTTCGGGATAGAAGAGTTCAGGGTCGATTGACCAGTATCGAGTATCCCGTGCAAGATTGTGCAATGGAATAAACACTTGATCACCTTTTACCAATTGAGCTCCACTTTCGGGCAGACGATCATCAACGGTCAAAGTGCGAACTGTTGCATTGATGGGTGGACAATATCGGAGTACTTCCTTGAGAACACAATCCAAATACACCAATGAGTCAAGACGATCCAGTGACAAATCTTGTTTGTTATTGTCACCCATTAGTTCAGTCTTGATCTTCTGTTGTACCCGAGGATGTTTGCTCATGAGATAAATAAACCATGCCACAGCACTGGCAGTGGTTTCAAAACCGGCCACCAGGAAGAAAAGCATTTCATGCAACAGTTCACTCCGTGATAGACCTGTCAACAGACACAAATATTCGAAGAGCGTTCGAAGTCGCTTTGCTCAGCTACATACTGATTAGTCATTGAATTATTCGATTGAAGGTAAAAAAGGAGAAGTTGTTAGAGTGAATAGAACTGACGAGGGAAGGTCGCAAAATGTCAAATCGCTTTTAGATCGAGTATATACTCAGACAATAGATCTTAATGAACTATTAAATAGCTTACAAAATATATTCGATATCTTGATTCATCATCCTTCGATCTGGCTCAAATTTATGTCAATACTAAGGTACTCAGTATTGATCAGGATCTCAGAGTTTGAAGATTTAAAAATTGGAAGAATGGGTTCGTGTATTTTTCAGCACAGAACATACAGTACTGATAAATCAAACTTAATTTTCGAAAGATATCGATATCTTGCATGTGCATTTCACTGGTCGAAATGAAACCTTTTTTTTGCTTGAATGCGTTCTTCGCATAGAATCGTTGATATGTCTGAAAGAGCGCATATCTGTGCTGAATATATATATATGTATATTTAATCATAATAATTAATTTCTACTACTGTTGCAAATATTATTGGTCTGATTGTTTCTCATTTATGTTCATTTGATGCAGCTTATCGTGACTATATATTATGTATTGAACCTTTTTTTCAACAACTCTCACTTCAACTGATTAAATGATTCACTTCATGATGAAAAATGCACGAATGCATTCTTTCAATGCTTGTTAACTAAAGCTTCGATAAATGAACTGACACTTTCACATGTATACTCATTATGAAATGAAGGTAGCCTGAAAATATCAGATGAATCAATAATTGCATCTTTGAGCAACAACACACATTGTTTTTTAATAATCAATCAGTATGTTAAACAGACTCATATCTTCCATAAGAAACAATGATGTGCCTTCAAAATCTTAGATGTGAATCAATACTGAGTGCCTTAATATTGATTTAAATTTGAGATGGATTGAAGCATGTTTAGTAAAGATATTGAATATATTTTGTAAGTTATTTAATAGCTCATTGAGATCTACCGTTTGAGCATATATTCGATCAAAAAAGCGATTTGACAGTTGGGAACCTTTCCTCATATGTTTATTAGAAGAATCATTTCATGTGTGAGATGTATTATCAGATCGCCTACCTTTAGAAGATTGTGAAAATTGAAAAATTCAATTTGTATTTTTCCAAGGAAAAACTGTTGAAATTTCAGAATTTCAAGTTAAGAAATCATTAAACTCCTATTGAATAACATAAATACTTCGAAGAAGCATTGAAAATATTTTTTAACTGGGAAAATTTCTAGCGTTTTTGGGGAGCCTTTGGAAAACTATGAAGTTAAACAGAAAACTACCTGAACGGTCTGCACTCTCGGGGCCAACATGAGACACAGAGTCTGCTATTAACGAAAGAAGATAATTTCAAGAACAAGTTTACCTTTTTTAACTTCTTCACGTTTAGCTGCTTCTGCATTTTCGTCTTTTTGCAACGAGGCAACAAGTGCAGCAATCAACGAAGTTCTCTTTCGTTGTGCAATTGACTCCGCACTTTCAGCTAATTCTTGTTCG